AACGTTCGACGAGACATCCAGGAGCGAACACATGTCGGGATGCGAGCCTAATCGTCAGCGGCTACTTTTCGACCATTGGACCATCCACCACAAAGGGGGATTGTTCTACTTGTAGAGACGCTTCAAAAGCGTGGACTTTGTTCCAACAACAGGCGGGGGGGGTGTACTCATAGTCGTGCATGCCGTAGTCGTTAAACCATTGATCTCGCATCCCTACAAAGCCGGGACGGAGCACGCCGGGTGCTCACCGGACCAGGCTCTCACATCACCAAGCGCGAAGCGCCGTGAGATATTCGGCGAGTCGCATGAAGGGTGCGCTGCATCCTGCTAAGGGTGTTCGGCATCTTGTGCTTACTTCCTTGCGTACGGATGACAGCTGCGTATGACTTAATTTATTTTCTGGTGCTTTCACTTCCAGAGACAGTTGTAAGCACTGTGTAACTGCCTCGAGGGTGCTTGACCATTTTAACACAACGTGGTGCGATCATCCCCCTTGCGCGGAGCGGGTTCTCCACCCCGCACAACATGATCTACTCGACCACCATTGTGGTTACCGCCAAAAAAAAAAAACGGAGGAAAAAAACAAAACGGTAACCTGGTTGCCGAGTTCACGAAGTGAATTGGCTTGTTTTACAACGTCTTTGCCAAGCGACGAAAACCCAATCCCGATGGCAAACACCGGGGGGGGCTGCGGCTTGTTTTTCAACGTCGTTGCCAAGCGACGAAAACCCAACCCCGATGGCGAACACCGGGGGGGGCGTGGGAGTTATTTCACTCTACTCGATTTGTTCGGTTTTTCCTTTGCTTCTTGTCGGAGTGATTGCCTGCAACGAACACGACGGGCGGGCGGAATAGGCTCAATCTAACCATGCACCAGTTGCTCGCTCTTAAGGCATCGCGTTCTGTTCGATCGAATGTCAATTTTTCATTCCAAAAGTCAAATAGCACGCTTTGGCGGCAACAACAACAACAACAACAACAACAACAACAACAACAACAACAACAACAACAACAACAACAACAAACACTACAACTACAACAAACAGAGCGTGCCGATTGGTCCTACCGCTGATCTTCAACAACAACAACCACAACCTAGATATCAGATCTGCAACGCCTTCTCACCCGCGTTGCTGTTGTCTTCGATGCGCCTCTCCTTCTTCTTGGTCTGCTCCTCCGTCGAAGGGTTCGCCCACTGTTCTGCGGTCAGGCCATTCCGCGCTGCAACACCATTCGTTGCCACGGTAACATCATGAGATGAACAATGTGGCGTTGTAGCATTGATGTATTCATCATGCGGCAGGGGAGGCTTTGCCGGGAGCAACAATATTTTTCACGATTGCGTGTTGGACCCAGAAGCCACAGCATTCAGTTTCATTCAACGGGTCCGACGCACGACTTGGTATCCTTTTATTCAAGCAGGGGGCGGTGATGCCTTGGTTGTGTCGGGTGAAAAGTCATATCATGAAAGACTCTGGCCGGACGGAATGGAACGGATGCAGAGAATGAAACAACACAAAACAGAAACGCCTGCAACGAACACGACGGGCGGGGGGAATAGGCTCAATCCAACCATGCACCAGTTGCTCGCTCTGAAGGCATCGCGTTCTGTCAAATTTTCATTCCAAACGTCAAATAGCACGCTTTGGCGGCAACAACAACAACAACGCACGAACAGAAACTCACCTCCCCGGGAGCAGTCGTCGTGTACTTCTCGATGTCTTCCTTCCTTTTCTCGATTGCGTTCTCGCCTGCAACGAACACGACGGGCGGGCGGAATAGGCTCAATCTAACCATGCACCAGTTTCTCGCTCTTAAGGCATCGCGTTCTGTTCGATCGACTGTCAATTTTTCACTCCAAAAGTCATATAGCACGCTTTGGCAGCAACAACAACAACAACCACAATAGAGGTATCGTACAGTAGTCACCCAACCAGGCATACATGAACAAAAACGAGAAGGTCGGGTGCACTGGGACAACGGGGGACATAGGACACACGACAACACACAAACATAATTTCACTCACTCACTCGTTAATTCATTTAATTCATTCCATACAGCAAGAACTTCCTTCGAAGACGCATTGTGTCTTCGTAGCTGGCCGTCGCTTTTGATTCTCCACTCAGTAAAATCAAGAACAACCCTACCTCCGTTCGGGCTGCGAAGCTTGCCGAGCCGGTGGTAGGCGGACGCCTGCTCCTCGGGGGGTGCTCGGAACAGCGAAACGCCGCCGGTGAAGTCCCCCGGCTGCCGGATCTGTGCCTGGACCTTCTTCGGCGAAACACGCTCCGTCGTCGCTACCTCAAAAGCTGCATCGCCGCCCACGGCCTTCACTCCACAGAGGGAGGAGAAGGTCTCCATCAGGGGGCGGGACATGCTCCAGAAGAGGCGCCACGTCCCGGAGACCACGTGGAAACAATCGACAGGCTTCCTTGGTCCGGGGGGCTGATGCCGTGCAAGAAGGGGCATGAAGGACCTTGGTGGTGGCGATGTACGCGTCCCCACTCCGCATCCGAAGTTGTAGGGGCTGCGACAGGCCGCCGCTGCTAAGGACGAAGTCCCCTGTGGACTTGGTGGAGTCTACTCGCCCGCCGAGGAGGACGTCCGCGCCAAAGTGGACGGTGCCTCGTACATCGAACTTCATCTTATCCGAATGCGTCGTGTGGATTTGACCGCCCTCTCGCGTTGTTACGTGCACGCAGTCAGGCCGCGTGCCAACCAGGCCGGTCATCTGGTCGATTACACCAGCCAGGACAGGCGCCTTGTCCAGATCGATCCCTCCCTCGACGGGCCCCCCGTTGGAGATGATGTCCACGCTGTCATATGCTCGCTGGTACACCAGTCGGGACTCGATGTGTTCGCGCTCCCCTTCGCTGAACTTCTGCACGCTCACCGCACCCGGGAAGAACGCCAGGTCCTTGTTGATCTCGGTCGACACTTTTGTTGGTGTTCAATCCTGTAAGAGACGTGTGGGAGGTATTCATACATACGCAAGCGCGGCCACGAGTGAATAAAGAACACGAGATCGCCGGAGTTCATCCAGAGAAGGCAAGGAATGTCTTCCTTTGTGAGCCGGGAGTGGACATTAGTTCATTCTGGAAGTTTCAAACCTCTACACGCAGCCTCTACAGGTGGGCCGGCTACCCCCCTTACCCTCGCATCTCCTACTCACCCTGCTGTCGCTGTTGTCGCCAAAGCTGGGCTCCCTGCTCCTCTTCCCAGAAAAATTCGCGGGTGTAGGGTGGACATTGTTCTCCTAATCATGAATGAGTGAGACAGGTCAGTCACCGAACAGTGGAACGATGAACGTGGCATGTACCGAGATTCACGCTTTCGTGTATGGCCACACCAACTGACGTCCAATGTAGACTTGAAGCTGCAAACGATGGTCATCGTAGGTTCGTGTCTGGCGGGAGGGTGTTTGTGGAGGGTGTGTGCAAGTGAAGCAGTGGGGGGGATGTCCGCGATCACTGGGTGAAATCGAAAACAATGGAGGCGTTACTGCTCGTGTCAGCGAATTCGTTCATCAGCGCTTGATACTACTGCATGCTCTGGAACACCATCATCCTCGCAAATAGGCTTTTCAAAGAGCCTAAACCTGTTTTCGCGGAATACGGACAGTGCAATTTTCGAGAAACGATTATTGATTCACAGTAGGTTCACAGGTTACCTCGTGAGGTGAACTATGTGCTGGCCTGTTTGGTGGTTGCGGGGTCAGAACTCCGCGACCAGACTCCGTTGTTTTCCTTGCCCGAGGAGGTGAGACTAGGCAGCCCTGGAAAATATGTACCAGAGGCACAATGATACAGCGGTCAATGGGAAGGAGTCAAGTGATGCACAGCTAACTATTCGGTCTGGGAGCAGAAAGGCAAAAAATGCATCCTCGCTCACTACACTGGACTTTGAGAAGGATGGACGCGTTTCTTGTGCATATTGAGAGGACATGTCACGTCAAGCTGGGGCTGTTCATCTTCAAACGGGAAGATAGGGGCGGGGAGCGGTCTAGTCTATGCCTTGTTGGCGATACGTGGCGCTAGGCGTGATGCTTTGAGCCTCACCGTCACGACTGGTGGATTCCTTATCATCTACGGGAGTGAAAACGTAGGAGCGAGAGTAAGAGTGAAATGGAGCGTAGCGAAAGCTCTGTTCGTGGGTCTACGGACATGGTTGGATATGTCAGCTGTATAGATACTGTGTCACGCAGATGAGGATACAGAGGGTGGGTCCGTGTTGATATACGGGGACACTTCTCGCTTTTCATGTGCTGATGCTGGATGTGTCGTGTTGTGGCACTCCCTCTCTCGCATGCCCTGGTACGGGTGTTGCGTCGTCTCCTGAAGTTTATAGATCACCCAAACAAGTCTCACTCAATAAATACGTGGCGTAGGCCGGAAACAAGCTCACCTCTTCCATCCTTTTCCTTCCTTGGAGTTTTGGCCGGAATAAGGTGGAAGTGGTGATCACCTGCTGACGAATGAAGAAGTAGCCGCGATGAGGTTGAAACAGACCTCAGTTCACTGAGTGTGGTCGGCAGCACCCTCGCCTCTCGAGGTTTCATCTACCTCTGCGAAACCAACATTTTGTGAGACTGACCAGAAACTCTGTTTCCTCGAACCATGTCGGTCCGACAAGACCTTCTACCCTGACCACCTAACCAGTTCTTGTCTGATCCAGGCACTGCCAGAAGGAAACATTGAAGGTTCATTGCATCGCTATCCCAGCAACGAGTCTACAACGTTTATTGAGTAGTCATTGCTCCCAGTGTGTTCTCCCTGTTTCACAGTTGCTTGTGTTCACAACGGATCAGGTGTGTTCCCAACGAATCGTACCAAAAAGCACCCGCACCCA